TTTTTTTTGTATAAAAATTAAAAACTGAGCTTAATGCAAACGAAAGAGAAATAGGAGTGCATACAAAAAGACATCCTAATAAAAAAGAGTCAAACTAAAGGAACGGGCATGAAGACAATTGAAAATCGATTTATAGAATTTCTAGCAAGTAAAACTCCCTTCATACATGAGAATGTATGGTACATCCAAGAATCCCTATAAGATGAAAAGGTAATATCCAATTTGTATATATTAATAGCCGAGGTGTCGGTAGCCCTGCATTTTGCATTATGCTCATGATCTACCCCACTAATTTTCAAGGAAGCTTCACCCACTTAAGGCCAGCTCCGAGAGACGACAAGGGTTTTAAGTTAATAATTTTTCAACATGGGGACTTGAACTAGGACCTTAGAGGGTATCTCCAAACATCCCGCCTTTACCACTAGCAAAAAATAGATTAGGTCGTACAACACACTATTTCAAACGTAATCTAGTAGAAAACCAAACAAGTTTGATATCACCAATACCTAGTTGCCAAGGCATCAATTTCATCAATGAAGATAACTGATGGTTTGTTTACCTGCATACAGAAAACATGCTATATAAGTTACTTCAGAAACAATGGACAATTGAAAATCTACACTCAACTTCATACATCTATTTGATGATAGAGAAGCTGAATAGAGTATTGTTCAAATCAAAATCAAGGTATCTCTTCATTTCCATATTACCACTCAGAAGATGCAACTCCTCCATAGGTCAGACAAATTACAGATTAGCCAATAAGCAAACTGTCTAATCTTAAAACAAAAATATTAGACAACGTCCTAAAAGTTTATCAGTCAACGAGCTTCCAAAATGGTGATAATCAATAAGCCAATAAAAAATATATTAGTGGAAGAGTTAAAGTTACTTCTATTCATGGCATGAACCCATATAACTTACTGAAAAATTAGGATGGAATCATGGAATCCATATAACTAAAAGGATACCTTATACAATCACTAAAAAAGTGCCAAGGTGCCAAGATTTGAAGCAATCACCTTTGCTCTCTTAAACAGATCTCTAATACGAGCAGAACCAACACCGACTAAAACTTCAACAAACTCGGAGCCAGCCATTTGGTAAAATGGAACGCCAGCTTCACCGGCTATGGCCTTGGCCACCAATGTCTGAAATGTGAGGCTGGAGTTAAACATGTGTAAATGAATATTACAAAATTCAAATATTTCCAAATCCAGAGAGGGAGAGACCAACCTTACCACAGCCAGGAGGTCCTTCCAGAAGAACGCCATGAGGAGGCTTTATTCCTATTTTGTCAAACAATTCAGGATTCTTCAAGTATCTCACCAACTAAACAATAAAAAAATGAATAAATTCACCATTTTATTTTTTTTTTCCTTTTTTTGATAAGAACCCAAACTTTTCATTAAGACAAATGAAAATAGAAACATATACAAGGGCATGCAAAAACAAAAGCCCATAAGGAAAAGCCCTATCTACTAAAGAAAGGGCTTCCAATCCAAAAGATAAATTCACCCTTTGCTTAAAACTTACAGCTTGTATGCAACAATAAATCTCTCTATGTACAACATTTAAATATTAAATTCAATTGAGAAAGGACTTCAACATAAAAATAAATTACTGCATGAAAGAATTTTATTACAAATTGGCAAAAGGTAAACCCTCCAGCTTTGGTATCAGTTCAAGGACATGCACAATTTTAAGATTAAAAACGAGATGCCAACAGCTCAATTGGTTAAGGCATTATAACCTCTGAACTAAAGGAAGACCAAAAACAAGATAAATGCCATAAAAGTAAAATCTTAATCCCTTGTACTTCACATGAATAAGGTGCAAATATCTGATTGAAATGCTTAAACTACCATAGGATTGGTCCTCCAACCATTCCAACCTAACCACCTTTCCCCAGCCTCCAAATCTATATAAAATCAAAATAATAATAAATAGCTTGAGCACTCACATTTAAAGTAATCAAAAGAGTTAGAAGGGAAGCAAGTCCCACATGATGGTTTGACAAAGTTCAGAATAATCCCATCATTTCTTTCGAGCAAGAAGAGAGATAGAAATGTAAGATATAAAGTAAAGGAATGAAACGCATGCAAGATCATTGACTGATAAAAAAAGTACCTCTTGGAGTTCCTCCACAGCTTCATCAATTCCTGCTACATCACTAAACTTGACTCCAGTTGAACCCTGAAAATTTTCGCATGAGCAACGGGATGCTTAGGATTTATCAACTACTATTAAGTACTATGAGAACTTAAAATGTGTACTAACATCAACACGAGCTTCTGCTTTGGAGCGTGAAAAATCAATCCCTTGCCAGAGATCCTGCATAATAAAGAGAGAAAGGAAAAGATAACTTTTCATCAACTTTCATCAAAATGAGAGATTCTTTCTTTTTGTCTTTGATCTCCGGAGATCCTGACTAAGGATTAAGAAAGATGTGATATTATTTTTTACCAGAAACAACTGCAAAAGATGTAAAGTTGTACGTGGAAGGAAAACAATGACACAAATGGAAAAAATTGTCTGAAACGGACATACCCACTTCCTGAAGTTCTTAGGCCTCCTTGAAAGTGTAAAGCGAACAAGAAGAACCATGGTCAAAAGAACGATCATAATTGGTTTTAACATCTCAATACTAGCAGAGACACCACCAAAAGTGTAAACCTCATAAAACTTGGAAAAAATTCCTCCAGCTCCAAAAAAATCAACAACGTTATCCCAAAATCTCTCAAAAATGCCAAAGATCAGACCTAGAGAAAGCTTAAGGAATGGTCTGCTTATTGGCCATACAACATAAACAACAGTCAAAAAGACAAAACTGGTAACAGCAAATACAGCAGAAGCCAGGAACCCTCCGACAACAACTGCCGCAGCAGCCATAGTAGCAGTCACTACTGCAAGCTCTACCATCATTCTGCTAGATATGCGAGATGCCACAGGATGAGGATAATCAGGCAATTTTCCCACCCAAGACTGCATCATAAGAGTCAAGATGTCAGGGCAAACACACACCAAATCTTCCAGCATTTTTTCTTATTCCTTTTTGGCAAAGGAAAATAGAAAATAAATGTTATTGAAGATAATGAGTAAACCATATATGACGAAAGCTACGATACAATATTCAAACTGAAGTATATAATTACAAGCAACATTCATGAAAACAAAAACGAATTATTATATTGTATAAGCACAAAGTAAAACCACAATTTGTATTGATGAATAAAGAGAACTTAAGGAGGTGTTCGGTACCAGAGCCATGTGCCCTCTTTAGTTTTTAGAAAGATGTGATACAAAAAGTCATTGATTGTTAGCATAGTAACAATAAGATTGAAAATAATTTTCCACTATACTCAGTTTCTTGGGAAAAATTTGAAACAAAAAATGCAGTGTTTTTCATGGATTTGAAATTATCAAATGAACTTCCCTTTCCCAATTCAAACCTGCTTTATTCTTCTTTTCCCATTGCTTCTTTATTCTTCCTCTTCTTCTATCTATTTTCCTTTATCTTCTCCATATTCTAATTTGGGCCCCAAAAAATATGAATTTGACCATGATTTTTTTTTTTTGATATGAAAATCTTTTTTACCATGATTAAGACAGTGAAGAACACAGAAATTCAGTTCTATCGAATTTTATTGTAAATATCGGCATTTCAAGTGCCAAAGAGCTTTACTCCTAACCCATAAGTTCATCTAGATATCCAAAAACCCGCATTCCAGCTCACCCTGCCTGGAACCAAGAGGGAAGACTACATACTAATTGTGCAAAGTCCTTATATGAAATGGCAATTCCTCAATCTATAACATAATTATGAGAGAAAGATTCTGAATATAAAAAACAACATACTCAATCTGTTAAACGAAAACTAGTTTAAGAAATTGATTACCTACCGAAGTATGCGTCTCAATTTGGTACTGTGGGCCAGTATACTGCTCCAATACCGCTTGAGCTTCATTCTCTTCAAGCCTCAACGCCCTGGGAAAAGCATATTTATTAGAAGAAATGGAGTAGAAACGTTGAACAAAGAATGTTTGCTAGCCTAGTCAAGTTTACCATTTAGTTCTTTGCAAGCTCTTTTCACCCGGGATTTCTCTTAAATCGACAATGAAATCTCTAAACCTGTTGCCATAAGACACAACTATACTCTCTTTCGAAGTTAACAATTTTACTTTATCGCTCTCCATGGCTTTCTGAAAAGCCTCAAAGCTCATTTTTGGCAAGGCCTCAATATTTCTATCAAATTCTTCTTCCTCCGATACTTCTGTATTGAAAACCTGCTCAGGCACATAAAGCTTCCCTTTATACTCCCTCAAAATGTCTTGCAAATACACAGCCTCACTCCTCGTTCCACCCTCATTACGACCCTCAATTGCCTCATTCTTCTTTCTCGAATTCAACCACTTCACCACGGAATCAAACACACCCACCTCCGATTTTCTGCTCAAATACTCTTTCTCTTTCGAAGTATACAACTTATCGCCAATTAAATACCTGGGTTCCAATTGGCTGGGATTCTCCTTCAAAACCCTGGTTACAAAATCGTCTCCGGCAGCTTCATCACCGCCGGAGGACTTCGACGGTGAATCAGAAGAATTCGAAATTGCCAAGCAGGGGGCAAATCTTTTTCGGTGAAGAAACAACAATGGCGTTCTGGGATTCCGAGTGAAATTAAAACGTTTCGCCTGTACATGATTCAGACATGAGGCTTTCGGAAGGAAAGCCCTAGGAGATAGCAGTGAGTCAATGGAGGCCATTTCTGAAGAAGAAAGAGCTACCAAAAATTAGAGAGATTTCACGGATAAGTAACAGCCAGGAGAGAACTCGATGGAGATTATCGAAACAAGTTCCATTTCTGAAATTTTTCAGACAATCATCTGAAATCCAAGATAGAAGAAGGTTGAAGGCGGGTTTTAGTTCTAGTAGGACTGAAAACGTTTGTTCATTTTCTGAAAAATATCGGGGAAAATGGATAAAATAAACCTAAAGGTGTCTTAAGTTTTTTAATCGTCCTCCTTGCTTTTTTTTTCTCTTCCAAACTCCATCTCTCTTCTCTCTTCTCTCTCCTCCACTAATATTTTAGACTTCCCTCCTTATTTTCTCTCTCTACCTCCATCTCACACTTTTTCCAGATTTTTTTTCCTCCTCTTTTCTTATCGTAATTTTTTTTCTCATTCTCTCTAAAATTTTCTTGAAGATGGATGCATCAAAGTCGACAAAAGAGGTCGTTTGCCGAAGAAAGAAGATGAGCATTTTGATTATGAATCATCCTCGTATAAATTTATGTTATTGATTTAACTTTTGTCCGTAACATTTGAAAGGGTTCGATTGTGCCATTAACTTCTTAAATTTATTTCAAAAGAATATTTTTTGCTAGTAATTTTCGTTTAAGTGTGTCATGAAAATAAAATTGGGAGTAAAATAGTAACTTTTAAAACGTTACGAGAAAACATTAAATTTACATTCGTTGGGGTTAATTTATAAGAGAGTAAGAGAGGCATGTAGGGATACGTTTAATCCAACGTAACTCATATTGAGTTGAATATGAAAATGATGTAGGTTGTGTTTTGTTCAAATATTTATTTAATCTAAAAATAAAACTGAGTTGAATCGAATAACTCGAACTTATTATTATTTTTAAAATTATTTCTTTTACTTATCACAAAATTATGTATAGATATATTTATTTTAATTTGATCTCATTCAATAATTGTGTAGGTATTATTTATTCTCTAACAACTTTTTTAAAATAATATTTTAAGTTTTTGAAGTGTAATCTTTTATCGTGGAAATAACTATTGACTTATGGATCTTGATTTAATATTATAAAATATGTAAATAAATATTGATATTAACACTTTTTTTTTCGAGAGATCGAACTCACAACCTCTGAATTGAAGATATATRTCAATTATCGTTGAGGTATGCTCGTTTTGGCATAAGTAAATACTATTATCTAGTTTTTTTGCCTTTGTCAATTGATTCATTTTTACTAGAAATTCATTATATTTATTTTTTTAGTACAACAAATGGAATTTAGACTCTTGATTTTAGCTAAGCTTAAGTCCACAAATTTAAGATATTCATTAAATTATATTCTATTCATAAACTTGTTAACTGATCGTGTTACACTGTTTTTAACAACTTATTCTTATTAGAAGTGTAATTAAATTAATTTTAATATTTATTTAACTATAAAATAAAATAAAAACTAAACAAAAATCAATCAATTGCGCGTGATAATAAAAATATTGTTTTTCTAAATGGTTAGTAATATTTTTTACTTTTCCTCTCTCTTTTTCCGGTTTTCAATTTCAAAATATTTTTCATCTCCCTATTATTTTATTTGGCCCAGCTTCTACCATCAATATAAGGGGCGAATCTAACATTTTCATATTATCGTTAAAAAGGATCRAAAAAAAAAAATATATATCAACATCATATTAATAACAAGAATTTTCAACTATTTTCAACTATGAAAAAATATAATTAAAACTAGTACATAGATATTGATATATGACACAATTTTCAAATAGTATACTAAATATTTGTCTCTATGAACCAGTCACACCTCGTACATAACATATTTTAAAGAACACATTATAGACTCGATWAGAATACTCGACTTTTATCATTACTTTTCAAAGTAGCTTATAAAAAATGGAAAAAAAAAGTCCACGTTCTCAAACCTGATTCTTGGACCCAAAAGATTAAGACAGGAGAGGAATCTTGCATAAAATATTTCTCGCCTTTTGAATCTATAAAGGTATAAACCTCCATGTGCTATGCTACATACATGTTCCTGTTCCACTCCATTGGTTGATAATAGAACAAAATATAGGACGAACAGCAACAACCTAAAATGTTTTTCTGTCCTAACAACCAATTCCCCTGTTTGGTTACTTCATAATGATTAATGGATTACTCTAGTCCTCACCAAGGTCAAGCAAAGCAGAAGATAAAGATAAAATTGATGATTGGACCACTGGAGCAAACACACAAGCAATCATTTTCTTTCAATCTCTATCAATCACAAAATGGGGCATCACCAAACTTTTATAGAGCAAAGCATAGCATTTGAAATTCTTCTAGTCTATTTATCTGTCACTCTTTCCTATATCTAATAGACAAAAGAAATATGAAGGGGGGTTGTTGAATGGTACCAGGGATTAAGTGTGATGTGTTATGCAGCTCTGTAATTGATCAAAGAATGTCCTTCAAATTCTTAGGATAGCACATTGTTGTATGGAGGCCATTCCATACGTTCTCTGCAAGAATTGCGTTCACTGCATCTGTTGGATGGAATTGATCCCACCAAATATGATTAGAAGCATTTTTGCAGGCCATAACTGGTGAGATGCACATGATCCAGCCATTGTAGCGACCAAACCCACAACAAGCATCAGTAGTTACATTGAAACCTGGATGTAATGAAAACAAAATGACACAATGAGAAGCGAATTGGGTTCATGGGAATTGAAGTAAGGAAGTTAAGATTGTCATTCACCGTAACGTTCATGGTTCTTTAAAATATCCATTGAACCTTCAAGCAAATCGCAGAAGATGATACTTGAATCAGGAAGCTCCATGCCGAGCTCCTCAACCATGTATCTCATGGCAAAGTTGAACTCCATAACCATGTCATTTATCTCCTCAATACACTCTCCATTTTCACTGCCGTATTGCCATAAGTAGAATGGAGCGCAACCAATAGGTGCCAATCCCATTATCACAATTCTCCTGGCATTCATGTTATACAAGTTCTGAACCACGAATATAAAATATTTTAATAAGTTTTTGAAGAATTGATAAATTAGCGCATGTAAAAAGAGATGCAATGGAAAGAAATGTAACTTGTATGCAGGGGAAAAGCAGCACTCAAGATGCAATGTAGGATTAATTGCCAATATCTAGAATGATACAAGAGAGCTCAAATTATGGAAATGAAAATATGTGCACAAAACAATATTTTGAAGGTTAAAGAGATGGCATCATGGTTATATATACTTTCTTTTAATTAAAAAACTGGTATAACAGGAATTATGGCAGCAATTACAGACAAAAGAACGAAAATGAAATTGTAATCAAATCACCTTGATTTCCTGTCTGATTGTGGCTGCCAGAAATTGGTTAAAATTCCATGGGGAGTACAGGTTTTGCACACTAGATATATTAAACAGATAGTAATGAATGTAATCGTTGATTCCAATTGATATGTAAAAGACTGAGTTCGAAATGTGATCAGCAGCATTCTTCTCGCCCATACTTAGAACAAACTGCTGAAAAGTGTCCATAAATTGCTGAATTTGCTGCGTAAAGGAAATGTGTTGGCCCTGTGACAAATCACATTCCAAAAAGGCAAGAGCATTAGCAATAGTAACCACAAATCACAATAGCGAGCTATACTTCAATTTCCTTGGCGGATAATGTGAAAAATGATAGAACAATGATGATATCCACCATCTAAAGAACTTAAGATTACTTGATACGTTACGAAGCTCCTTTTTTCCCTTAAGAATGATATAACCGAACATTAAAATGTTGAAAGAAATGGAAACGATTGAACAATTCAACCCAGTAATCGAATCCTTGGGCATTTGATTTGGAACTGATCGATTAGTATATTTCCTTTCTCGATGATTTTGATGAATTGATAAAACTAGTTGAAATTGAAGAAAGAAGTACCAATTCCGATCCACTGGTGAAGATTACTCCAGCACTAGCTGATGCATAATTCACTCCTTGAATCATATCTTCCACTGCTCCAGCATGCCCAAGATAACTCGGAACAAAAGGAAGTCCAAGACGCAGGGCTGAAAAGATCATCCAGAAGAATAAAAAAAATGGAAGAAAAAGAAAAGATTATACAACAAAAAAAATTAAGAAAACAGATCAAACCACGAGACAGAGCGAACAAAAACAGAGATCAAACCTAAAAGAAACGTCTAGAACAAAAAAAATCAAGAAACGAAAAATACCTAGAAAATCGACGGGAATTCTTCCATTACAAAACCTTCCAGTCGGACTGTGCGTGTCGAAGTCTCGACCGTAAGGAAGATGATCGGCACGGGCGAAGGTTCCGAGGAAATTGTTGGTGCCGGCGTCGACGGTGGAGTCGCCGATGACGAAAAGGGCGGGGACCAGGGAATTGGACGGCGGCGGAGCGACGGGCGAAATGGGAGAAGATGCATTTGGAGGGCTTATGAAGCCATAAGGGCTCGGCGCCGGAGGATGATGATCTTTAGGGTTTAGCAGAGCTTGTGATTGCAGAAAAATGGTGGAAATGGTGATGGAAATTAGGGGAATTATCAGATTAAGCGCCATTAATTTTACACTCACAGAGAAAGTGCGTGTTTGAATTAGGCGGGAAGATAACGGTTTCTAGTTCCACCATGTGTAAAATAAAATGGATTAAATTACATTTTTAGAGTATAAGATATACTTTAATCTATGGTAAATTTATACTAAATTTTATTCGCGATTATTTATATTTAAAAACACAAAAATAGTTTTAAATGTCAAGACGAGTATACCTCAGTAATTGACATATATCTCCAACCAAGATCAAGAGACTACAAGTTCAATCAACACCTTCACATATTGTATTAAAAAAAAATTAATATAAATTTAATCCTGAATAATATAAATTCATTGTTTTCATCGATGTGATTTACCTGATATTTATTATGATAAAATAAAATATAACATCACAAATTTTATGTAAGACAAAGATATCTAATAAGTTCTACTTAGATAATAAAAACAATGACCAATGTATAGATTAAAGATTAAAGACACAACAATTATCTGCCTGACCAATAAATTTTAATAAACTGCCATGGATTTGATTTTTTTTTTCTCCTCTTTAAAATACAATCTAGTATGGAAAAACGTTAATCTTACATATGAGATACTTTTGTAGTAAAAAATAATAATTCACCAAGGTTTTTAAAGAAACTCAATATTATTGTAGGCAAAACCTACAACTTTCAAGAATATTCTTATCTTCAAGGAAGAGTATGGCTGGCAAGAGAAATAAAATGTTGGAAAGTTATTTAAGTGAATAACAACTTGAATGTATCTATGTAATTTGTAAAATATATTATAATCTTTTGCTAATTAATATCATTACATTTTTGGTTAAGTGTGAAATATTATTTAAAAGAAAAGTTGAACGATAAATAATTCGTTCTAGGTGAGATACATAGTCAAATTTTCATCCCTAAATTAACTATAACATTTGTTTTCTTACTTAAATTAATCATCGATCTTTAATCTAAATGCAACTAAATCATAATCTAACAATTTAAGGGAACTTACTAGCTTGAGCAGCTCAACTGATTACAACATATGTCATCGATATGCACATCTAGACATACATTCTATAATTTAAATTCTTAATTCACATAATCTAAATCTATATATGAGTTATACAAGTGGAAACTTTTCAATTTTGAGCAATAATAAACTCAAACTTATTGAAACTCATTACCAAACATTCCATCAAAGATTTTAGCCATATCTTTAGGTTGGATTTGGAACTCTTTCAATCATTTTTCCCATTCTTCCCCAAAAGAATAAAACATTTAAAACACAAAATCCAAAAAAGACA